TGTTTTTTATGTGAGATACAGAATACTACTCCCTCCGTTGCTAAATACAAGTCTTTTTAGAGATTCCACTATGGACTACATACGGAGCAAAATGAGTGAATCTACACTCCAAAATACGCCCATATATCCGTATGTAGTTTGTAATGTAATATCTAAAAAAGACTTATATTTAGGAATGGAGGGAGTATCATATTATATTATAGGTAGAGATACAGCTACATGGAATAGTAATTACACGAAAATGGCATCTATACAGTACTTGTCATGGCAAGCTAGGAGGGGAAAGGGATGGCTTGGTCACTTTCAGCTCCCCACAACCGCTGATATACACAGTTTTCTGTGGGCGATCCCACATGGCTCTAGCAGATTGAGCTCTTTCATCGCCAATCAGCTGTGCAAAATCATTGAAGAATTGGATCCTTTCACCTGGTTTATAGGTAGGGATGGTTGCAATGCTGGAGATAACATCCATTCCTACATGATCAATGAAACGAACATCAGAACAAAGGGTAAATAAACTTGGTTGCTTCCATCTTTTTATTATAAATAACGAGAAGGACCCGGCAGTTCATAAAAGAGCACGAGGATGCTCTACGATATGCTGGGGCATTTCAGAAGTTCTGCAAAATTGCAAATAATGCATGTCCAGTAAAGGAAAAGATTGATAATTGCATGTAATAGGTAACATACACCAACCAACTTAATTGTCAGTTATTTTTAATAAAACAAACATGTGCCTTTGTGGTGACTATGGCATGTAAGCATGCAATATACTAGCAGATAAGAGGCGTGAACAGTCTCTGGAACAGTCTCTTCAGCACTCCAGAAGTTATAATTAACTATAGAAATAAAAAGATCTTAAGTATATTAACCTACACTTCGTCAGGTACATGTAACATATGTGCATTAGACAAAATGTAACCTGTAAATTTCGATAAGTTGAACAGTGAAGAAAAGATTCAAGCAAGCAGACAGCATTGCACTTGCGTAACTGAGGCGGACATGGGAGTTAGCGTTGGCGGGCATGAGGTTTGCCGACGGGAGGCAGTAAGAGCCTGTTTGGGACTGCTCTGCTCCTTAAAATTCAGCTTCACTTCAGAAAAGACAAGCCAAACGGGGTAGCTCCACAATATTGCCACTCCACAAAAAAACTAGAATCTGGGTTATAACTCCCAGTTTTTTATGAAGCTCTTGAGGGGGTGCTCCAAAAAACTCTAGAAGCTGGAGTTGGGGGGAAATTACCTACCACTGCCACCAGTAAGTGGATACCCCTTCGTTTCTCCCCCCTCATCCAATCAAATAGATCCTTTCCACCAAATTTTCCATTCTTGAAGCTGGAGCTACATGGAAGCCAAACATTCTCTTTGGTAGTGCTACAACTTCTGTATGAAACTACTCCAAAGTGAATTTAGTGGAGTGAAACTGATTTTGGTGAAGCTGAGCAGTCCCAAACAAGCCCTAAGTTTAAGAATACTATTGAACTAGATATGTCTTCAAAATTCTTTGAATAAAAAGAGATGTCTTCATTTAGCCAACCAAAACCAAATTATTTTTGGGTGATGTTATCCGTTATGTTTTTTTCTTTTGAGAAAATGCAAAAGCTTTGCGTCTCGATGTATTGATAGGAAGAAGAGTTTGTACAAGTCCAAAGCTGAGAGACACCCAAAACTACAACACGACGCCACTAAACGTTAGGCGCCGCCCTGCTGGTACCAACGCTGCAAGACCCCTCGCACCCGCCCTTGCCTAGCTTCCGACTTGATAGTGTCAAGGAGACCAGCTAAACTGAGCTGAGCGTTGTCGAAGATGATCACGTTACGATGTTTCCAGATAGACTGGATTAGAAGGATCCGTTATCCGAAAATTTGAATACCATGCTATCAACATGATGAAGGGGGACGTGCCCTTTCTAACAGCAGTCTGGATGGAATGGCATGTGAGTTGCCCCCAGTCCACAAAATAGTGCCTGCAGCGAGGGACACGCCGTCAGTCAGATCGAGGGGAGCACCTCGTGCCACATCGTAAGCCAGAAGGAGCAACCCGTGAGGTGACCCATCGTCTCGTCCGACTGGTCACAGAGCACATTAGCTAGGTGCATGCTGCAGGCCACGTCTCTACAGTCTCTCAGCGATCCTGACAGCCGAGCCACACGAATTAGCGTGGGGGGAGGGAAGACTTCCACTTCAACTTTCAAGAGCTCGAACCGACCAACCCATGAAAGAGGGCGCCATGCCAGGTCTTGGATGTGTACTGACTGCTCGGTGTCCGCCGCCACTGCTCACATCTGGTGAGGTGGAAAGCACCACCCCGCGCACCATTCACCTAACCTGGATATACTGCCAAAGGGATGTCTGACATCCAACGACGGTCGGTAAAGGCCTCCCTAACTGTGCCCCTTCTTTTCCTAGTGCGCCCTGAGAGCAGGAGAAAGAGCTCACACGCGAACTCTGAAATAGTGCGCCCATCCAACAAAAGATCCTCCAATAATAAGGTAGATGCTCCATCCCCAACCACTATGTTGGTGGATGCGGCAAACACCTCCCGTTCATCACGGGAGAAGTCCGATATATCTAAGTCTCCTAGGCGGAGTGGCCTGCAACCAAGGGCTGGAGCGGCTCACTCAATAACCTGCTTAGCGCGAGAGGGGTCCCGAGCTATCTGATCAGAGGGAGCTAGCTGACACTCCATGACCGATGCTGCCTCCAGGGCCTCCTCGTCCGAACATCCAATGGGGGACACTGAGCACTTGTCAAAATTGGTGGGAAGCCCTGATACATGCCCAAAGATCGCAAGTATGCTGCGAACAATGAGCAACCCTGCTCTATCCAGGTGGCAGAAGATGACAGCCCTTCTTCTTAAAGTGAGACGCTCGCAGTCAAATTCCGGGGTACTAGGCGGCGGAGCAACCCAAGCTCAGCCTTGGACAACAACTTGTTTAGTGTGTCTATCACCAACACAAACACCATATGGGAGAGTGAATCAACCTGTTGCAGGCCCTTGCGATGCCAAACCGGCAGATAACGCCGATGGGGCATGCTCAAGCTAGATAACAAAACTAATTTTTAAATCACAGGATAAGCTAAGGTGTATGCAGCAAAGATGAGGATGTTATGGCTTGCTGTTGGGAAGAACTAAGGTAGACATTGATTCATTGATTGATGACATGGATGCTTTTCTGAATAATCTATGACATGTACAGATGGGATGTAAACAAAGCTTGTAACAGTATATCACCGGAAGGTTCATGTTTAGAAATCCTACTCTAGCAAGGCTACATTTTGCTCTTAGTCTTACCAACCCTGTCATTAGTAGACCAGTCATTAGTCAAATTCCACATAACATAGCTGGTTCACGAAGTGCATGTTATTGAAAATTGAAGGTCCCGATATCAAATTCTTGCAAGACATTCAACACAGAATCTGTGATAACCATCTCATACAAGTAATTCTGAGAGAAGTACTCACCTTCTAATACAGTTCCAAAGACAATGTTCTGATCATCAAGCTCTGGACAGGGCCCTGGCCCTGTGGTCACCAGGAATTCAACATTGTGATAATTGGGGCTGAGTTTGATGCTATCGTCGTCGTCATTCTGCTCAAGACACAAGGATAGGGTGCCAGGCCTTGTATGTCTTAGTTGATACGCTTTAGGATCAACAGTCTCAACATTTCTCACAAGCTTTGAGGGAGGTTGGACAACACCCTTATCACGCCGAGAACCTTGTCGGCCAGCAGCAAAGAACTGACCTTGAAGCACCTTGTGGACAAGTGTGCCTCGATATGCAGAAGCAGTGCAGGTAGTTTTGAAGTTGGCAGTAGTGATCGGGAGTAGCCGACCATAGAGACCAAAGACTACACGTCCGAGGGGCTCGGAATCAGGGCACGAAGCAAGTTCAGCTCCTAACGTGCGGTCATTGCTAAAGAAGCTTGGACAAATGCTAAAGTCCATGAATATGCGGTCGGTGATGGTGGTGTCAACTGTGGATGAGGATGGAGCGTTTGCATTGTCTATGGCAAAGGAGGAGGAGGCGGAGAGGAGAAGAGAGGAAGCAGGGAGTAAGACGAGAGACCGCCTAGGAATTCTTGGGGAGTGGTTGTATTTATGGGTATTGTCATGGTTTGGTCTTGAGGTAGCAAAACAGGAAGACTGGCTGTTGGGGTGGTGGTGGAGGCTGCTAAGAGAAACATGGTCAACCATGGAGGAAGTAGCTTTTGTGCTTGATGAAGGCAGCATTTCGTTGCTAAGTGAATGCTTCAGTGTTTGTCCTGCTAATACTTCATTTCCTGCAATAACCAAAGATGAATGAGGCATAAACTTTGCTTAAGTAATATGCTTACTTTCTCGACAACTAGCATAACACTGTCAGGTACTCCTTCCGTCCCGAATTACTTGTCGCAGAAATGGATGTATCTAGAACTAAAAATACGTCTAGATACATCCATTTCTGTGACAAGTAATTCGGGACGGAGGGAGTATAACTAAAAGCCCAGGCATTCATAATACAAAAAACTCTTGGTTATCTCTCTACTTTTTCACATGGAGCTCACCCAGGATGGGGCATATGACAAGGGTGTACATATCACCCTTTATTCTAAAAGTGACTCCTACTGCAGCAACCTAATTAAGCCACATCACCCCTAGAATTACAGTCAGTAAATTAATTAATATTTCCTATTTACTGCACTCATGCATTGTGTGTGGTGCAAACAATGAATGTAAGGACTGTTGCTAAACAATTGGAAGGTTGGTGCCTGAAAGACTATGTTGAACGGAAATGTTCTGTCTTTGAAAACAACATTTCATTCATATATAGAAGTAAATAAGCTTCATGCATACATAGAAGTAGAAGACGTGTCATGCATATAAAGACCGGATGTGTACTCTGTTCGACACAGATCTGTGCAGTAAACCAATACTCGATGGACAATTTAGGTATGGAGGCACACGAGTTCAATGTTTAAATGAAATATATACTGAACGGTTCTGGAAGGTTCTCGTCAGCATCTTGTCTTACATAGCATGCAATGCTCCCGATATCACATCAACATCAAGATATGTCAATGTTACTCCCGAATAACATCAAAATCTGCCCCAAGAATTTAATTCTCTTTTGGTAACCTGGAGGAGTTGCTTGAGACTGGTACTCAACTGCTCATTGAAAATTATGTTTCGAAGTGTTAGAAGAAAGGTGTGTGCACCATTGGAAAAATACAGTAAAACCTCTTTTCAGAAACAAACCATCTTTGAACTATTACAGACATGCATGCTAAAGAGAATACATGAGGCAAGAAATTACTAAGACTATTCATAAACATACTTGGTTACTTAATTGTAAATACACCCACAGCAACGTGTGGGCATGGCCCTAGTGTACAACAGCAATCAAGTAGTTACAATACACATGTATGAAGTATGCTGACAATTGCATCAAAGTTTCTTAAATGTATGGATTTCACATTACAGCCTGCTACCCTACTCTCCCTCCAAAAACCCAGTAGGCAATCAACACATTCTTAATAAGTCCATATATCCAACAAGCTGACAGGCAGCAATTCAACAAAAGAACTACCCATCTGCCTGGGCCATCGGCAACTCCGAACCGCCAAAGTGGCGATTGGCATCTGTGACCTCATACTGCTCAAGCAGGATGAGGGTGCAAGCTGGACGCAGGCGGTCACCACAGCCAGTCGTCAACCAGCAAGTGGGGAGAGCCTTACCTTGGCTCGTCGCTTTGTTGTCTTGCTTCGAAATTACTCCCTCAGTCCCACAATATAAGGCCGTTTTGCAAGCTAAAAAATAGCTTGCAAAACGATCTTATATTATGGGACGGAGGGAGTAGACATTACTACTAACTGTGAATTGTTACATTACTATTGTACTGCTCTTGGTCCCTAGACCCATGAATGAGCTGTGTGTTTCTGACAAAAGACTCAAAATATGAAGAGGAAATCTGACAGTTTTACTATAAATTGAACCAAAATCATTGGCCATCTAACAAGCATTCCCTGACGTACATGGCACGCAGCTGACTTAGTGTGATGGTTTCAGACTTTCAGTCGAACCAGCAATAGCAATTTCCATGCAAATTGAACGGAAATCAAGGGAGCAGCCCGTTTCCTAGTACAGAACCCAAAGAAATGGAAATAGAGCGGCGTAGCCACGGGGCACGACCTCACCTTCCAGATCACCGGCGGCGGCGGCGGCGGCGGCGGACGGTGGAGGCACAGCCCTGCGGCTGCACTTGGCCCTGCGGATGCGGCTGCGGAAGGCGGAGGTAGAGGTCAGGGACGAGGAGGGGACGGGGCGGCGGTGGGAGCTAGTGTCGTGGTCTCGCCGGTGGAGAGCGAGGCCTAGGGACGTGGCGGTGGCGGCCATGGCGGCGGTGGGAGGAGCTGTGGCCTGTGGCCGGCGCTGTCCGGAAAGGATAAGGGTATACTCAATTTTTTATGGGTCCGAATAACTGCCACACGTGTGGCGTCGATAGGAACCCGCCCGCACGCCTCGTGCGGCATAGACGGGGATCGGCCCGCACGACCACGTCCGAGCGCACAAAAGCACGGCCCGCACGTCCGGTGTGTGGCAAACCCGCCCGCACTGTCCCGTTCGTGCCAGAAGACCGGCTGCCCGCACGACCCAGCCGATCCACGCCTCCGATCCATCCGTCGAACCCCGACATCCGTCGCCGGCCATCCCTGGTTGCCATGGCAACCAGGGCAGATCCGTAGGGCGCTCCGACCCCAAACCACACCCTAACCCTTCCCATCCCCAGCCGCCCACTCCAATCCAGCCCTCCAGACACGATCAACTAAAACCAGGTGAAAATTCTCGATCTCGTCCTTCCCTCTCATTCTTAAGGCTGAAAATCTCTCGATCTTGTACTGGGTCCATACTATAGGGGTAGAACACTGCATGGTTCGGTGTATATTCGCAATTGCCACGCAGAATACACCAGATCTGCCATGTACTACGTTTGAGGTTAACTTAGGTGCCTAGTTTAGGCACTTAAGTAGTTGGGTATGAAATGGATGAGTAGGAATCCCTAAAAAAGGGCAGGAAGGACGATTTTTTGAATGAAGAGGGTGGGAAAAAATAATTGCCACTTGTGTGTAACGACAGTTGCCGCTTGTGTATGATGACAATTGCCACCTATTTTGACCTGTTGCTTGCCATCCCTATCTTCCATGTGCAAGCAGCAGAAGAATACAATTCTTGTGGATTATTGATGCCTTTTTGATCATCCAGTGATTGAGAACATGTCGGAAAAGAATCGAGACGCGGAAAGGATGAATCGCGAAGGTGGCGCTGATGCTTGGGGTTCTCAAAGGCCAGAAACACCGCCTTGGGATGCAGCAGAGTATAGTCAACTCATCTCTGCAGGGCCGTTGCTGCCACTACTAGAACAGTATGCAGGCGTAGGTATGATGCGTGGTAACAAAAAGAAGAGAGCAGTTGCCAACTTCGCAACGATGAAGATGACATTCTACTTATGTCCTACACTCCCATTTTTTTGCAGGTTCTTATGACCAAAACACTCTTAGGGGGGCCCCATGGCAAGTTCAGTCACAAGGCGCTAACACTGACATATGTACGGGCAACCAACCTCAACTAGCTAGTATGGCTAATCAAGGTAATGCAAAACCAAAAAAAACACATACTGCTGTGCACGTGAAAAATGGACATGCAAAAAAACTGGCAAGAGGACTCACGAGTTATCACGGGTGAAAATGCAGGGCCTTCATGCAGCACGTGGCATCAGCCAGCACCCATGTACCTGCCATCGACGTCATACACAGGTCAGTCCATAAAAAAAGTGAAGGTGCGGATGTTCAATTAGCAGAAGGGGCATAGTTGGCAGCTCCAAATTGCCATGACTGGACTTCTACAATTGCCATGAATTTAAAACTACATTTGCCATCCCTGGACAACTGTTGTTTCCATCAGTGGACACTTGCAGTTGCCATGGAGAAACAACTGCAGTTGCCATGCCAGAGCAACTACAGTTGCCATGTCATCGCAACTGCAGTTGCCATGGAGGAACGACTGCGGTTGCCATGCCGATGCAACTATAGTTGCCATGCCAGTAAAACTGCAGTTGCCACATCAGGGGCGACTGCAGTTGCCGTGCTAGCACAAACTGCAAATTTCCATGAATTGACCAACCACTACTATGCTTACAGCGTATTACGTTGGTGGTGACACGACAAACGTCCCGTGGCAAGCTTCACAAATTGCAGGTGGAGCACGACATTTTGGTGTCACAGACCACACAAGATGGCCAAATGCAGCACAACAAGGTAAGGAAAAAAATTGAACCACAAAAAACATCACTACATTTGTTGTTTGTAGTTTTTTGTAGGCAAAACAATAGTTGCCATGTTTGTTGAACAGTACCTTCCATGACTGGACAGCTACAGCTGCCACACATGTCCACACGCAGTCTCACGGCTTGCTGTTTGAAAATATGTCGTGCCAAATCGCTCGAAGATGGTGTGATCCATTGCGATACACATGTTATCCAAACAAAAATCTTACTCTCGTACCTGTTTTTTCTATTACAGGGCCTGCAACTACACTGAACAGCGGCGCGGGGACATCTATGGCGGGGAGCTCTGAGCGCACGGAGGACGCGTTCCACCAGCCAGCAGACAATCATGCCGCAAACAATTTCGAGTCAGAGTCGGAAATGGCAATCATTCCAGCAATGCCGACAAGCACCCCTTTGAACACAAGCACTGGCAACACTCAATTAGATGGAACTGCCGTTGATACCAAAGTGAATGATGAAACTGACGACGACGCACAAGGGGATGAAGATGGTGGGCAATCAGAGATCATGGTACCTCAGCCACCGTACATTGGGCAGAGATTTGAATCGTTCGAACAAGCAAAGGAATACTACCAGACATATGCAAAGTTCCATGGATTTGCGGTCAACACCGAGTACCATAGGAAAATTAAGAAAACTAACGAGTACAGCAGAGGTGAGATGAGGTGCCACAAGGCACGGAGGAACAAGAAGGGGAAAGGTGTTGCGCCTGTCGTTCCGGAACGAAAGAGAGGTATCATTCTCAAGACTGAGTGCCCTGTCCGGTGTAAGCTAAACGTAGATGGAGCACAGTGGGTGGTCAATGAATATTTTGACGAGCACAACCACCAACTCATAAAGAAGTTCGACCTGGTGAAATTTCTGACCGCCCACAGAGGGTTCACCCCCGTCGAAAGGAAATTCGTAAAGCTGCTACATGATTGTAACGTCGGTCCATCAAGAATGGTACAGATACTATCTCTCATCCACAGCAAAAAGGGGACTCTGAGTAGCATGCCGTACATACCAGCTGACGTCACAAACCTACAGGCCAAGTACCGTAGAGAGAGCAAGTTGGCAGACATAGAGGCCACAATAGCCTACTTCGATGCGAAAGCAAAGGAAGATCCAGATTTCTTCTACAGGATAAGGTTGGACGATGAGGACCGTGTCAGGAACATGTATTGGGTGGATGGTGCTGCAAGGAGAGCCTACAAACATTTCCGAGATTGCATTTCATTCGACGCGACGTACCTCACCAATATGTACAAGATGCCATGCGCTCCGTTCATAGGAATAAATAACCACAATCAGTCGTTGCAGTTCGAATGCGGCCTCGTCCGGAACGAAGACACAGATGGGTACGTTTGGCTGTTCAAGACCTTCTTGGAGTGCATGGATGGACTTGCTCCGATGAACATAATAACGGACCAAGATTTCAGCATGCGTGCAGGCATAGAGGAGGTCTTTCCGTTGGCAGTGCACAGGCACTGCAGGTGGCACATTATAAAGAAGGCTGAGGAGACGCTAGGACCGTTCTTTGCCGACCGTCCAGAGCTGCACAAGGCATTCGAGCTGTGCGTGGACCACAGCTTGACGGTGGAGGAGTTTGAAAGGAGATGGATGGCCATGACTGAAACACATCAAGTCCAGGACAACGAGACTCTTGTTAGCCTGTGGGAGAAGCGAATGTACTGGGTGCCGGCCTACTTCATGCAGTGCTTCTTCCCCTTTCTGCAGACTACGCAGCGCAGCGAGGGGTTCAATGCTGTTTTAAAGCGGTACGTCAGCCCTGGCAACTCATTGCTACAGTTTGCCAAGCAGTACACAACTTTGCAACAAAAAATTCTGGGATCTGAGCTACAGCAAGAAGCGACCACAGCCCTAAAGCAGCCAAAATTGCTAACGTATTTACCGATGGAGAGGCAAATGAGCAAGATATACACCAACAAGATCTTTAACAAGTAAGTCAGTTGCATTACAGTCTTATTTGCATAAAAAGCACCAAGTCAGTAGGGGCCTTATAGAGTGCAATGCAGTTGCCATGACATGCAGCTGCCATGTTTAATGAAATACTGTTTGCCATGCTTACTCAGATGCAATTGCCATGTTAAAATGAAAATTTTGTTTTGGCATACTTGCTCGGGTGCATTTCCCTTGTTGAATGAAGTGCAGTTGCCATGTTTTATGCGCTGTGCTTCCATTAGAGCATGTTGGCATGCAAATGCCAATGTCAAAAAATGCTAAAAAAATGTTATATTGGCGACACATATGCTGAAATGCAGTTGCCATGTTTAATGAAATGCATCTGCCCTTTTTTTTGAAATGCAATTGACATGTTTACTCAGCTGTAGATGCCATGTTTAATAAAAATGCAGTTGCCATGTTTTATGCAATGTGCTTCCATTGGGGAATGTTGGTGTGGAAATGACGATATCCAGTTGAAAATGTACTGCAATTGCCATGTCTGTTGTACTGCAATTGCCATGTATGTTGTAATGCATTTGCCATGTGTAGTGTACTGCATTTGCCATGTTCAACGTAATATATTTGCCATGTTCAATGAACTATGTTTGCCATGTTCAAACAAAATGTATTTCTATTTCCATGACAACATAAGGGTGTACAAGAAAAAGATCGCACGAAAGTTTAACAGAAAACACACAAAACTTGCAGATTCCAGGAAGAAATAAAGCGTGCCAGCATGTTCACGGCTTTCCGGGTGGACGAACATACGTTCAAGGTGTGTTCTATTTTGGGCATGTCAGATTCAGAACCTGAAGACGCGGACAAAGGAAGGAACTACTTCGTCAGAGCCTCGATAGGAGAAGGCGAGTACTACTGCCAATGCTGCAAATTCGAACGGGACGGCATTGTGTGCTGTCACATACTAAAAGTCATGGACATGAACGCTGTGACACGCATGCCCCGCCATTTCATAAGGAGGCGATGGACTTGGGACGCTGACGACGCGTTGGCGCCGCAGACAACACACACAGTTCTGGCTGTGCATGACGAGAGACCTGAGTCAACCATGGAAGCCATGAGGCACGTTGTGCTGACAAAGAAC